CATAATCATGGGTTTAATATATTTAACTGTATGTAGGTGTAACTATACAGCAGATTCTGAGTCTGGCTTCTTTTGCTATTTATTTATTTATTTAGTTAGTTAGTTATTTTGGATACAGGGTCTTGCTATATAACCCTGGCTATCCTAGAACTCACTATGTAGACCAGGCTGGCTTTGAGCTCACAGAAACCAGCCTCTCTCTGCCTCCCGAGTGTCCAGCTTCCTTCCTTCCTTTTGAGCTCTGCTGTATGGTGAATGGGATTTAAAGAATATATATTTTTTTGGCTAGTAATTTTTAGATGGCCTGCCTCGGGGCAATTTTCACATGACTTGGCTGCCTCATCTCCAGACATACTTCATTATTTAAATAGTTCTTGCAGATCTGCCTCTTTGATTCTATTTCATTTACTTTAACTGATAACTTAGATCCGAGATGCGCAAACACAAAAGACAGGGTAAAGAGTGATAGGTACAAACTCATCTTCCAGTCGTGACCTTCTGCCCGGGTGGGATGTTGCACATTTGAGGTGAAAAACATTTACAGCAAAGCCAGTGAAAAGGTGAGTGACTGGAGCTAGGGATAGGAGGAAATGTGGATGTGCTAACTTGGGGACAGACCCTCAGGGGAGTTGACATGAACTCCCAAATGTGGACAAAATGGTCCTGGTGGCTCTGCAGTACACCATCGGCGTGTTGCTGGTTTAAAAGCATCCCGACGGGACTACGTTAGTCTACTGCTATTCTAGACATAATCCACTAACGCGCCTTCTGGGTGGTATCTGTGAAGGAAGAGCTCTTTAGCTGCGCTGGTCCGACTCTGGCTAAAGCTGGGAGAGTGGACAACCACGAACAGAAGATTTTGCTAACTTACATATACTCCGAGTATATGCATTCCATACTGTCATCCTTAAATCTCTTGTAGGTTCCGGGCTCCGAGTCACACTTTGAACAGTTTAAAGGACAGAGACTGCTTGTCTGGCCACTTGGGCAGCTGGGAGATTTACACAGCAAAGGCATTGCCGGAATTATTGCTTAAGTACACCAGTGTTGATCTTTTCCAATAGTTGTTACCGGGGTCATCTTGCCCACTGGGCAGAATTATGCTTTTCCTGATAAGAGTACGGAGGACTTAATGGCAGACCAGCCTTAATGGTGGCTGTGACCCTGTGCTGACCCCTTGAGCTGACCCTTAGAGGCAGGGTTCTTTGCTATGGGGATGGGCCTAATGGCTGGTATCAGGGTTGTCTCCTTTTGTTATAGGAAAGGAGCCCAACTGAGGGTCAATCCTAGTGAACAAACACATCCTAGCATCCTAAATTTCTCTTATCTCTAACAAGCCTGGTTAGTACCCTACTTATCCTTGTGGTATTTTGGAGGCAGAGCTTCTTTAGTTGAATTCCACTTGTCTGACTTAATGCCTCCTAAGTGAACCTAGTCCTTTATAATACCCATTCTTGAATTTCTTCTACATCACCAATATAACAGTCGTTTCTGGGGTGTGGGCGAGGGGGTGGTGAGAGGCAGTGCTGGCAATGTCTGAAGACATTTTGGTTGGCACACTACCGGCATCTAGCAGGCAGAGTGCGAATAAACAAAACAAACACCTTAAAATGGCACACAGCTCACTACAACAAAAACCCCATCGAGCCAGAAGAGTTGGCAAGGCCAATGTTCAGATCCCCCGTCAAGGCCCAGTGGCCAGACACAGGTTCTAAACCGTGTGAACCACCTTTCTGAAAGTGATGATCCCACAGGAGCGTTTTCTACCTCTAGCCAGCACACATCTGGTTCGCTCCAAGTCTGTTACTCTAAGTAGTGGGGCTGGAGAGATGGCTCAGTGGTTAAGAGCACAGACTGCTCTTCCAGAGGACCCAGGTTCAATTTCCAGCACCCATAGGGTAGCTCAAAACTGTCTGTAATTTCAAGGGACCCAACACCCATGGCAAAACAACAATGCACATAAAATAAAAATACACAGATTAAAAAAAAGCAACAACAACAACAACAAGAAGACCTCTAGTAGTGGGACCAAATCACTCAGAGTTGAGTGATGTCACATGGACCTGATATTGGAGGAACCAGTGATGCCTGGTGGTGTGTGTGTGTGTGTGTGTGTGTGTGTGTGTGTGTGTAGTCATTACAATTAAGCCATAAAAATTTTCTATGATTTGTGCCACTATTTCTATGTCAGTATTGAGAATATTAAAGTTTTAAGGGTACCCAGCAAATCAGAATGTAAAATAAAGTATTTGAGAATTTGGAAAACAAAGATTTCAATGTAGGTCTCCCCCACGCCAGCAATTCAACTGTGAAGCATCCTTTTCCTTCATCCACAGCTCTCATCACTTGCACTCAGGGTGGAGCTGATTTCAATATTTCTGCAGTGGAGGTGCCAATTTAAATATTGTCCCTTCTTCCTCCAGAGAGCTCAGGCGACGGCTACCCACTGATGCATTTCCACTGGGAAGCTGAGGCGTTTTATAATGATCCAATCTATTTTGTAGCTGGTGTTTCCATTGTAATGCTATTACCGAACCAGTGTCGTGACAAATCGTCTGTTTATGAGGAAAATCACTTCTACAAGAAGTAGAAAATTAGACATGCTTCTGTTCTGCAACAAAACCTGGACGGGGCGGGGGGATTCTCCAATTTATTCCTATTTGTATCAGCAGAGAAGCTTTAGAAGATGAATTTTCTTCTAACATCTTCCAAAACCGATCAGTAACTACAAATACGATGTAAAAAAAAAAAAAAATGCAGTTCCCCCTAATCCTAACGAAGACCAAGACATTCTCAAGCTTTTTATTGCCACGGGCCCTTTAAGAAAACCAGGCACTTCTAACTCCACCCCTCTGCCGACTGGAAGCCTGCAGGTCGCTTTCCCAAGGCTGTTAGTTTAGCGATAAACACCAAAGAGCTAATTTGCCCCCCTACCCGGCCAGCAAGGAATGTTCCCGAAGCTGTAAGCCCTCTAAATGTGGCGGTCTGGAGGTGGGGTGGGAAAAGAACAATAGAAAACTTGTGAAGTATGGAAGCCACGCCTACCCCAGACTGCCCTGCATTGAATAAAGCGGAAAGAATGCAGTTAAATCCCAGTCCCCGGCAGGGCTCCCTTTACCCCGTCCATCTCCCCCTGAGTCGGTTTTCCTGAAGCTTGCTGAAAGCGAAGGAGCTGAGTGTCTCCTGTCCCAGACCCAACATGGCAAGGACAAGGAGCCAAGTAAACTTAGTGGCTACCTCAGCAGACGCTTATTTAAATTGGCGATATACTCCTGTAAGGGAAAGCCCTTTCCCCCTCGATTTTTTTTTTCAAAACTGTTATTGTTACATTCTGTTTCACCGACGGTGTTTTCAGAAGCCCCCTCAGCACTAAACTGAAGAATGTCTAGGACAAGTTTGGGGGGCTCTCTGGAATTTCTGAGTTGACTATAAGCAGCCATCTTGGTAGAGATGAGGTCAAGGTTCCACCCTTGGCAGGTTGAGTTGATTCGAAGGTGAGGCCAAGTTAAATGCAGGCTTGAAGGACAAGGGGGAGGGGGGACTAGGATCGAGGACCTCGATTTCTTAAGTCATACTAAATGCTTTATATAAACTCCTGGAGCAGCTGACAGCTACAAAACACCTTTAACCCAACCCACCCCCGCCCCCTTTTTGCATTTTGTTTCCATGAGTTTGTTCTTCCTTTGACTAAACTCGGATAATAAAACCCGTCTGGTCAGTTTCACTTTCCAATTTTTTTTTTTTTTTACCCGTAAGTGAAAGCTGTTTGGTATCAGCGGGGTGAAGTGTTTAGACCCTTTTCACCTGCTAAGCCAGTTTCCTGCAAGCCCTTCGAGGAGGGAAGGGCCTAACAGTATTTGAGTTTCTGATTGTTTGAGGCTGGCTCTCTACGGTAGTAATTACGGTTTTATTTTTACCTCCTGGAGTTTTGTAGGAGTTGGTGAGCGGTAATAATGGTTATACAGTTCCCTCACTTAGTCGTGGCTATTTGTTTAGCATTGTGCCTGCAGTTACTTTGGAAAATTAGCACTTGAAGTGTGTTTCAATCCTTCTGGAAAAAATACTCCCGTTTCTCGACTAGACGATTCTTGGTGTCTTAATCCTATTTCGTGCCCTGTGTTTGCAAGATGCAAAGGGGAAGAGGGTGGAGGGGGCTGCGCCCGGTTTAAAAAACTGGACGGAAGGGGCTTGTCTTCTCTGCAAAATTCTTTCCCATGCGAGGCTAACCTGTGGCTGCCGTCTTGCAGTGCCCCCCTCCCCCCATCCCGCCAACCCTCGGGGCCCCCTGTAGGGGAACTTTCTGTTCCTAGCTCCAAGCGAGCCTCTGCATGAAGCAGCCAGAGGGATCCACGCGCGCCGGCGCAGGCGTTGGGTGCCAGCCTAGGGGGGGGGGGGGGGGGGGGGGGGGCCTGGACCGAGGAGCCCGGCTGCCCCTCCCACGTGTCCCGGCACCTGCAGGGCTGGCGCGGCTGTGGAGTCCGCCTTTCTCCGGAAGAGGCGGCGCGGCCGTGGGTTGGAGCCTGGGACGCAAGGGCCCGGGGCGGGAGCACGTGCGCGGGAAGGCGGCGCGGACCCGGGCGTGTGTGTGCGTGCG